TCTGGTATAGGCTAAGGGTTCCAGGGTCCCAGCTGCACATCCCCACCCAGAAATTCCCAAAGTACCCCCCCCCCTTCCCCCCGGGGGTACACTGTATATTAACTGCCTTGAATGACTTGATATTAACTGATTGGTACTAACGGTTCCCTTTGTAAGGATACCTGATTTAAAAAAACACATTAAGCGACAACCTGGCAAACAAATCAACATACAGTTATGTATGTATGAGAAGATCTAGAGATGTGGGAGAAAAGTATGGACAGGAGTGGTAGAAGAGCATTCGTTGGATAAATAATGCGCAGGGAGAGTGGTATAAGCACCAGGGGTGCAAGACATGCAGGCTTTTAGCCAGATGGCTGCCAGCTGTCCTGTGGATGGCCACTTTTCAAAGAAAATTGTTTTATTTTTCATATGTTGCTTTATAAATTGTTCATTTGAGCAGGCCCTATAGTGCATTTTGGATGCAGGGCTTGACAATAACGGTAGCCAACTAGCCACAGACTAGTAGAAATTTAGTTTTGGCTAGTAGGTTTTCAATTTCCACCAGCCACTTTGGCTAGTCAACAAAATGAAATTGGCTGAACTAGTTTCTGTCTTCCTCAAGAGAGACAAACACAAAATTTACACTTTTCTCGGAAACAAGGTCAGAATTTCATTGTGGACATTATCATGCTAACGGGCATGTGGTGTTCGGCATGTATGCAAATTTAAGTTTGTCTACTTTTCGCTGGGTGGTATGTAAACTAGGAACTGAACATTTTAATTTTGTTGAAAGAAATATTTGACAAACAAGACAGCATTTTCTGAAAGCACAAATCAAAAATGCAATGCTCTTTTTAGTTTCGCAATTTTTTTCATGCACAAAATAGTACAGAACTGTAAAGGGATAACCTTTCATTTAGCGTAACAATACATGGGTGATTTGTCATTGTATGCATACTTACAAACTTACCATTACAGAAATAATTAGATGAGAAAGATTTATTTCCTTTGACATTCAAATCAGCCGTTTTTAGCAGTCAAATTTCACCAACAACAGTTTACAGTACTGTTCAGATAGTTGTTTTGCTTTTGAAACATTTCTATGGTGCCTGTCTGTGAAGAAGTCAAGTTGACAGTTTTTACAGTGATGTTTTGGGGGTCTCGATGTTTTTCCAAGGAAGTCTCAAAGAAAAACAGAGTCCTGAAAGTCTTTTTGGGAACTGGAACTTTTTTGAAAAGAGTTAAAGTGCAGTAAAATTACCAACATTGTGTACTAAAGAGAGTCACTTGCGTTTTGCTTTCCAGTCTTGCTAGTAATTCTGCTGTTATTGGACCTACCTGAAATTTTCACGAGGCGTTAATTTTGCAAATTTCGCAATTTAAAAAAAATCGCGAAATTAAAGTGACGTGAACAAGTAAGTATCAGGAACATAACACATTATGTTACTGTTGACATGTAGTACCACCATTGCATTTTTGTTACATTTGACATTATTGTACCTGATAAAGTCAGTTTACTAAATTCAAAGACATGTTTCAGTAACATTGCCAAGGAAATAAATGTTGTGTTACTCAAAAACGCAAGTTAAAGTGATTCAAAATACAAAATTTTTGCAAAATTGCTGAATTTAAGTGTCACGAAATATGCGCACACCCAAATTTGAAATAAAGGTGTCGCAAAAATTTCATGTAATGAGGTGGCCAACCACAACGCTTGGCTAGTAAGAAACGGTTTTGGCTAGTAACATCTAAGTTATCACTAGCCACTAGACTAGTGAGTTGGAAAGTTAGTGTCAAGCCCTGTGGATGCCCACTTTTCGAATCCTAGCTAAAAGCCTGAAAACATGTAGGTTTTCAGTAGGTTTTCAGTAGGTTTTTAAACTCGTGGATACGCGAAGTGTAGAAACGTGTTTGTTGCGGGGACTCCGATATGCAAATCTGTCACTCACTCACTCACTCACTCACTCAGGTGTAGACGCTGCTCGTAATTAGTCGGCCCAAACGAGAGCACCCGAGTCCGATGCCATGTTGGAATAGTAACCAAGCCCAACGCCATATTGGAATAGCAACCATGCAGTCAGTGCGAGCCTACTACTCAATGTGTGCATCATTCCAGCCCGAATATTGATGACTTTGTAGCTTTTACACAACCATTAATATTAGGTGTTTCGCTAAATTGAAGTGGAGTTGACTTTGAATGTTCGAACTAGTACTATGGCCAACTTGAAGGCTGAATTTCAGGAGCATTTGAGTCGTCCAGGCATTCAAAATGACCAGGAGATGTGTATTTGTTTGCTGGAAAGTGACCTGAAAAGCTAATGTGGTAAGCTTTGATGAGAATGTGTCTTATTCCTCGACCTTAATAAGCTTATATGAGCAAAACGAACAACTTTTAATGAACGAAACAGCCATTGAATACAAGACAAACATCGGCACCATTGTATAATACTGTAATTTCATTTTTATAATTTAGTAACGTCTAAACCTGAGGCCAGCCGAAATATTGTTTTAACTCTACGA